GTGCTGTGTTGTTAAGACTAGCTGTTTTGCTAGCCAATCGCCTCGACTCTGCTCGCTCCTCGTTGCCAGTGCACTTTCCAATAGCTGTCTCAAACATGTTACGTAAAAGGCACATTGACTGTCTTTGGGTACGCAGATGTTGCATGAATCATTATTTTCTCGGAGCTACCCTTCCTACAACATTTCGCCTTATAAGTGCCGTTGTTACCTGCATGTTCAGGTAGGGCAGCCAGCCTTCTCGTGGGACTTCCCGGGTTAGCTTGATGTACTGTGATTGGATGTTTAGGATGTTAAACAAGTACTGTGATTAAATGTTTAAAATGGTAAACAACTCACCCATTTCCGATTGAGTTGGCGTCATTACGCAACAATTATCGATGTAGCGAAAGATGGGCAGTCGGGCTAGGACAGGACGCTCAATTTAGCACATGAAGCAGACCGCTAGAATTGGCGCTAGCCGCTGTCCCATCGCAAGCCCTCTCCTTTGAAGTATTTCCCACTTAAGTGTTGCAGCTCAGACATTTTTTTGATGAAATCATTATTTGCCTTTTGCGTGGGCCGAGGGCCGTGATACGACTTTTGTATTCATCAAGTATTTCTGAAACCGACTGTAAGGCCGTCATTGCTGACATTAGTGTACAGAGCAGTCCCATCAAACGACTCTAGTACACAATCATTTTGAAGCGTACAAGAACGAAAGTGCTCCAGGAATTGCCCTGTGTTTGATGGCATGTATTGGAGAAGTTGACCGAAGGTTTTGTTCGAAAACCATGCTATACGATCAGGCGGTCCATTGACACAGCTTATAATAGGTCTTATTTCGTAAACGTGCGGTGTAGGCGATTGCATGTCTTCTGCAGACAGTTGTCTCAACCAGGCTGTAGAAGACTGGGCAAGTTGGGTTCTCTCGCTTAGGCCGCCTAACCAATCTTTGGTCTAACCCTGCTGACGTCTTCCCTAGTCCAAACCGTGTATAGCCGATAATGCTGTACGTGGGAATTCTGTTTCAGCCGACTGTCGATAAACAGTATTGTCTGCAAGGTGGAGCTCTGTGATTTCTCTGTTCAGCGACTGAGGCAAAACCACAAATTCACCTTTATCGCTGACTGGAAGGCGAAATTCATTCCTGCGTCAATCCTTATCGAACTTCTTTGAATCCTTCCCATTGTTCTCGTGTCAGATTGGTGTGCTTGTCATGTCTGAATCTACTGAGCACTTCAAGCACTCCTGACGACAGAATACGACGTTTTATATCAATTTCGGGGAGGATTCAACGACCGAGGAAAAGGAAGGGAGCTAGAGTTGTTCGCTTAAACTTTCAAC